TTAGTTTTTCCTTCTCTTTAATTGGCTAAAAACTTCTAATCTACAGCTAAATTAACTTATTTTCCCATCTATTCACAGGCATGTCGCAGCTGCGTTTTAAGCCTGCTTACAATCCGTATACCGAACCTAGCATGGAGATTTTCAGGTAATAAATCCTGGACTTCTCTAATTTGGTGTTGTTTGTTTTGGTACTTAGCAATTGACATCCCTCCTGTGATTACCAGCTATCATGAAGGCTTAGGGAAATGGGTGGAAATTGGGAATTCTGGCATGTTCAGACCTGAAATGTTGCTTCCTATGGGATTCCCAGAAGATGTTCGTGTTGTTGCATGGGGCCTTTCCCTTGAAAGGTAATTAGATTGTAATTTTTATTCAAGTATAAAGTATAAACTGAATGGAATTTATTTCGCTTGTCTGTCGTTTAACATGTTTGTGACAATGCTGAAGCAATTTACTTCCTGCTCTTACTATGTACTGAAAAGATACTGATTTTTGTTTCAAACTTTTTGAACTAGACCGACTATGATACTCTACGGTTACAATAATATCCGAGATCTGTTTGGACACAAGGTACTTCTACTTTCCATATACTAGCTATGATGCCATATAGCTTTCAAATCGAGAATGCTGGTGCATGTTTGTCTCTTGTTATTGCAGGTGGATCTTGGTCTCATCAAGGAGAACCCGATCTGTCGCCTTGGCCTCGAGTAAAATTGTGGTTCTTCTATTTCTTGCGTAACTCTCGAGTATACTAGAAAACACCAGGGTCTTGGCAGCTTATAGAGTCATGGATCGTAGCACAAAGTTACTGGTTTTTTCGCTTAGTTGAATTTAGATTAATTTTATGAAAGAGGCTTTGAAATTTTTGGTCTGCAAATGAGCAGAGGCATCTTGTATAACATTATTCAATATATTGTTTGCTAATACACACCAAGACAAACCAAATTGATGGACAAATTCCCTATGACCTCAAGATGTTCTTCATTATTTATTCTTTCTTCGATTCTGTTCTCGATCGTTTCCTGCCTTTCCCTTTAGAAAATTTTACCGACATTTTTAGGGTTCATGAACACAAAGTCTTGTGATGTTAACTAACTTGCATCTTCGTTTAGTTTTTAAATTTTTGTATGTATAATCAATCAATTATAAGCGAGTATGTGTTACACTCTGTTTGCATACTCGACACACCGACTCATGGTTAATCTCATGCATAACCTTATCAGTAAACTGGATCTCAATATTGAAGAGACGAAAACCATCCTTAAATAATTGAATTTAAATATCCATTTTATTGCATTTCAGATTGAATGAGGTACTAGATATTCCTCTTGTAATAATACAAACGGTAGCAATATTACATCAAATAAAATGTCCTAAATTTACTAGGCTTGAATACCATGCTAAATTACACAATAAACCATCGTTCCGTATTACAAACCCTACCCAAACCCATTTTAGTAACCCCATTTCATAGTCCTTAGGGTGAGAGCCAGAGAGATCGGGAAAGGGAGACAAGATGTTGAGACAAGAGTGGAGTGGAAAGCAATGGTGATTGTAGGAGAGATAGGGTAAGGGAGAGAAGACGTCGAGACAAGAGTGGAGAGGAAAATGACAGTGAGCGTNCAAGTGCCAACCTTGTTCTATTTATGCACAAGTCAGTTTTGGCATTGACCAAAAATCAGTAATCTCGAAGTTATATATATTAAAAGTTGTGAAATCACCTGGATTTGTTATAGACTCTCCTTGTTTTCACCACTAGCATTAATTAAACATATACATGGGTAATGTATTGATGCTCTGCTATCTATGAATATTGCGTAATTACTTATTTTGGTTTCAGGCCTAATATGTGATCGGGGGCTTACGCTTGGTGACTTGATTGGAGTCCTGAAGGATTTCTTCACACGTTTGGGTAATGGATGATCACTCTATTGAAAATTCAGTTGGCTTCTATGCTTCTTTATAGTATAAATTTTTTTAATTAGAGTTTAATTTTTCAAAGTCAGATGAGGTGAAGCTTGATATTTTTGTTCTCTCCTTTCAACCAATGCATTGCAGTTATATTCTCTGTTTGCATCTCCATCTGGCAGTTTTCTGCAGCCATCATGGACTGGATGGCACAGGCTAAAACCCCTTTTATTGAAACCAAACCAGGAAAAAAGATACTCCTGTTGCCAATAAATGTGCTTAAAGAGCACTAAAAGAATGCTTCATGGTTGGAAATAATAGCTAGTATGAGTTTTGACAAATAACTACCCTAAAAGGAAAATATTAGACAGATACTATTCCTCTTGGCAAGATGTTGAACAATTAGTTTTTCCTTCTCTTTAATTGGCTAAAAACTTCTAATCTACAGCTAAATTAACTTATTTTCCCATCTATTCACAGGCATGTCGCAGCTGCGTTTTAAGCCTGCTTACAATCCGTATACCGAACCTAGCATGGAGATTTTCAGGTAATAAATCCTGGACTTCTCTAATTTGGTGTTGTATATTTTGGTACTTAGCAATTGACATCCCTCCTGTGGTTTACCAGCTATCATGAAGGCTTAGGGAAATGGGTGGAAATTGGGAATTCTGGCATGTTCAGACCTGAAATGTTGCTTCCTATGGGATTCCCAGAAGATGTTCGTGTTGTTGCATGGGGACTTTCCCTTGAAAGGTAATTAGATTATAATTTTTATTCAAGTATAAAGTATAAACTGAATGGAATTTATTTCGCTTGTCTGTCGTTTAACACGTTTGTGACAATGCTGAAGCAATTTACTTCCTGCTCTTACTATGTACTGAAAAGATATTGATTTTTGTTTCTAACTTTTTGAACTAGACCGACTATGATACTCTACGGTTTCAATAATATCCGAGATCTGTTTGGACACAAGGTACTTCTACTTTCCATATACTAGCTATGATGCCATATTGCTTTCAAATCGAGAATGCTGGTGCATGTTTGTCTCTTGTTATTGCAGGTGGATCTTGGTCTCATCAAGGAGAACCCGATCTGTCGCCTTGGCCTCGAGTAAAATTGTGGTTCTTCTATTTCTTTCGTAACTCTCGAGTATACTAGGAAACACCAGGGTCTTGGCAGCTTATAGAGTCATGGATCGTAGCACAAAGTTACTGGTTTTTTCGCTTAGTTGAATTTAGATTAATTTTATGAAAGAGGCTTTGAAATTTTTGGTCTGCAAATGAGCAGAGGCATCTTGTATAACATTATTCAATATATTGTTTGCTAATACACACCAAGACAAACCAAATTGATGGACAAATTCCCTATGACCTCAAGATGTTCTTCATTATTTATTCTTTCTTCGATTCTGTTCTCGATCGTTTCCTGCCTTTCCCTTTAGAAAATTTTACCGACATTTTTAGGGTTCATGAACACAAAGTCTTGTGATGTTAACTAACTTGCATCTTCGTTTAGTTTTTAAATTTTTGTATGTATAATCAATCAATTATAAGCGAGTATGTGTTACACTCTGTTTGCATACTCGACACACCGACTCATGGTTAATCTCATGCATAACCTTATCAGTAAACTGGATCTCAATATTGAAGAGACGAAAACCATCCTTAAATAATTGAATTTAAATATCCATTTTATTGCATTTCAGATTGAATGAGGTACTAGATATTCCTCTTGTAATAATACAAACGGTAGCAATATTACATCAAATAAAATGTCCTAAATTTACTAGGCTTGAATACCATGCTAAATTACACAATAAACCATCGTTCCGTATTACAAACCCTACCCAAACCCATTTTAGTAACCCCATTTCATAGTCCTTAGGGTGAGAGCCAGAGAGATCGGGAAAGGGAGACAAGATGTTGAGACAAGAGTGGAGTGGAAAGCAATGGTGATTGTAGGAGAGATAGGGTAAGGGAGAGAAGACGTCGAGACAAGAGTGGAGAGGAAAATGACAGTGAGAGTGAGAGATATAGGAAAATGGAGAAAAGACGTCGAGATGAGAGAGGAGAAGGAAGCAATTATAAGGGCAAGAGAGGCAAGAAAAAAGAGAAAAGACAACGAGATGAGAGTGGAGAGGAAAGGCACATACATCCTATTATAATTGGATGAGATTTTCTTTTAATTTCCTCCAATATTTTAATTTAAAATAAGAATTTATTTGAAACATAACAAACAAATTGGTTATGGAATTTGAAGTGAAAAGTTATTTTTGGTATTTAATCAATATAAATCATACTTAACATATGATATAAAATTCATATCATTTATATTATTTTTGCATGCTTTGATGCTACAAAAAGGATGATTTTATTATATCATAAGCTATATGTGCACTCACCTAACAACACATGAATTAATTGATTTGTTAATTCATAATTCACAATATTTTTACACATATATTCACCCCATCAAATTTAAACCAGAAATTTTCTCATAAATTCATAATTAATGATTTAATATTTTTAATTATTATCTAATAATATGAATAAAAATATAATAATAAATATTGGGTAAAAATATTCATCATATTTATTATTTTTTAATATAATATTTTCTGTTTTTGATAATAAATTAAATTAATATTCAAAATATTAAATTAAAATATTTATGAGAATACATAAATTATTTTAGATTATTTCAATATTAAAAAAATATTTTTATTATTTTTTATTATTCTATATTATATTAGTAATTTAGGTAATAAAATTAAAGTTGTATGTATATTTAATCCAGTAAAATAATAGTTAATATTTATTTTATAATATATAATATAATAAATTAATATTTTTTTAAAATAAAAAAATAACATATTTAAAAATGTTAATATTTAAATAGTGATATAAATTTAAATAGCAATAATATTTTAAAAACATAATTTATTTAAGTAATTATAAAATAATTAATATTTATAATATTAATTTAATTATTAGTAATTGAGATGGAATTATTCCTACATGAACTAGATGTTATCTTTTTATTAAAAACTTATATTATAAAAAATAGTTCAGTCGATACCATTACATATTGCCCATCAGCTCTAAGTTTTTAAGAAAATAAAATAAAATAAAAAATTTCCAAACCCCTCTCCTTTTAAAACCAAACCCAAACCCTAGTAATCCCATTTGGTTCGCGAAATCTGGATTTGGATTTTGCTTTTGATTAATGGCTGGAGAGCGCAGCAGAGATAGGGATCGGGAAAGGGAGAGAAGAGGGCGAAAGGAGAGTGGAGAGGAAAGAGACGGTGAGTATGGAAGTCGGGACAGGCATAGGGAGAGAAGACGAGATAAGAGTGATAGGGATAGGGATAGGCGCAGAAGATCGGAGAGAGACGACGATGATAGGAAGCAAAGAAAGAAGAAAGAGGGTAGGGACGGCCGGTATGATAGAGATAAGGAGAACGAAAAGGATAGGAGACTCGAAGATAGTCAAAGGGAAGAGGGGGAGTTGGTTGAGGATTCCAAAAAATCCAATTCGCGTGTGGAGAATGTGAATGCGAATGTTAATGGTAATGCAGCTTTGAGTTTGGGAAGAAGTGGAGGTGTTTATATCCCGCCTTTTAAGTTGGCAAGGATGATGAAGGAGGTGGAAGATAAAAGCAGTGTTGAGTATCAGCGTTTGACATGGGATGCTCTTCGTAAGAGTATAAACGGGCTTGTTAACAAGGTTAATGCTACTAATATAAAGAATATCATTCCTGAATTGTTTGCTGAGAATATGATTAGAGGAAGAGGTCTGTTTTGTCGGTCGTGTATGAAATCACAAATGGCATCTCCTGGTTTTACCGATGTGTTTGCAGCTCTGGCTGCTGTTGTTAACACCAAATTTCCTGAGGTGGGTTTGCTTTTGTTGAGAAGGATGGTTTTGCAGTTCCAGAGAGCTTATAAGCGGAATGACAAGGTTTGTATCTGCTTTTTGTTATATGACATTTTGTTTTGTTATGTTTTAATTAACTGATAGGAATTGTGTTCTCATGTAGTTTTGTTCTGATTGTCTTTGATATTGGTTTGACTGTGCAGCCACAATTACTAGCAGCTGTTAAATTTATAGCACATTTAGTAAACCAACAAGTGGCTCATGAGATTATTGCTCTAGAGTTGCTCATGCTTCTACTGACCAAACCAACCGATGACAGTGTGGAAGTAGCTGTTGGTTTTGTCACTGAGTGTGGATCAATACTTCAAGATCTCTCACCAAGAGGACTTCATGGTGAGTATGCAATTTGAGTTATGTCATTTTAAGGCGGTTTTTATCTGAGAATTTTCTATTTTTTGCGAGTGCTCTATTTTTCTGGTTTTGATATGCTTGTAATAAGATTTAGATAATTAATTTCTAGCATACAAATAATTTGTTTATGGCTGAATTGCCGTTTACTTCATAGTTCTCTAGTTTAAGTTTATTAACACAAAAGAAAAATGAGCTGGGTAGAACAATATAAAACTATGAGAACTTAAGTTTTTGGTGTCTGCAAGACAGTTGTGATGTTATCTGTTCCCCCAGATAACAACCTTGAAAATGGAAACTATTTCCACTGAAGTTTATCCTTGTCAAATTTTTATCAGATTGGGGTCTATTATCTTTTGTCATTGAGTTTGTGTTGCAGTATACTATATGATCAAGTGACTATTTTTCGATTTTTGAGAAAATGGAGACGAAATTCTGAATTTTGTCTACTTTTTTATGTGGAAATGTACCTCATGACATCCTTGGTTTTTGATTCTGCTAAAATTTCCATCAAGCAAAAGATATTTGGGAATATGCTGGAATTTTTTCGATTGTCAAACGTATGTTAATTTTGTCCACAAATATGTGCATCAGGTAGAATATCCTTAGTTACATCTTTGTTTGAAAATTGGTATTCATAATTGTGATTTGTGCAGGTATTTTTGAGCGGTTTCGTGGAATTCTTCATGAAGGAGAGATAGACAAACGTGTTCAGTTCTTGATTGAAGGCCTGTTTGCTATAAGGAAAGCCAAATTTCAGGTGTGTCTTTTTTTCCTTTTTGGAATTTTACTACAAAATATTGAAAAGGCATAGACTTAAATCCAATTGTTCTTTTGTGAATTTATGAATTTTCAGGGTTACCCGGCTGTTCGTCCAGAGCTCGACCTTGTAGAGCAGGAAGATCAGTTTACGCATGAGATATCCCTTGATGATAAGGTGGATCCAGAGATTACACTTGGTATGTCTTAGTCTGTCAACTCTTTTTCTGCTGCTTGATTGACTAGTTTTGGTTATGTATGATTGTAAATATCTTTTTTATTGTCGATGTACAGATATTTTCAAACCAGATCCTCAGTTCCTGGAGAATGAAAAACGTTATGAAGAATTGAAGAAAACGATCCTCGGTGAGGAGTCTGATGATGAAGAAGGCTCTGATGCAGCTTCAGGTGATGAGGATGAGGATGATGATGACAACGACGATGAAGAGTCTGAAGAAGATGATGAAGAGCAGATGCAAATAAAAGATGAAACTGAAACGAACCTTGTAAATCTTCGGAGGACAATTTATCTAACAATTATGTCCAGTGTAGATTTTGAAGAGGCTGGCCACAAACTTCTGAAAATCAAACTAGAGCCGGGTCAAGAGGTAAGCCGCACAAATTCTGGCTGAATGTTCTGCAGCACAATCAAATGACATATTAGTGATCTGCTTTTTATCATCTAATAAGTTGGAATGTAATGACTTTTGTGACAAATATGAAAAAAGAGTTGAATTAATACTAGCAATATTTAGCATCAGTTTGTTAAGAAACTACCCGACATTGATGTTAATATTAGGCCAATCTGTGATAAGTTGGTAAGTTTTTAGCAAGAGCTGTGCTGAATCATTATCTTAAAAGAAATTGGATGTTAAGTTTTAATTTCTCAGGGCAATTTGAACCTGAAAGTTCAGCATATGATTCCAATGTTCTTGGATTTCTTAAAGAAAATGGAATGATGCACGAAATTTTCAGTGTAATGTTGAGCATGGCTACTTGATTCTTGGTTGCATCTAGGCTCACACAAATTATAATTTTGTTAACCTTTTCAAGGGTTCTCAATGGTATACTTGAGCTTACGAAGTTGGTTGATATCACATATGGACCTAAGATATTTTAAGGGATCACATCAGTTGGTAGGAGTAACGAATCATGTTGTTGAGAGTTAGACTCTTGTTTGAAGTGAGACTGACATAGATCTTGGGTTATTATGTTGGAAAACTCTTTTATTATTTTCGATGTCAAATCAGTTGGTATCATTAGTGAATTATAATTGTTCTTATTTGTGGAATGTTAGACATTTTTTTTGCATGTACAAAACATACATGATGTAGGAGGAATAGTAAAGATTTTGGAATTAAATGTTTTAGATTATTTAGTCTTTTATCTCATTGTTTTACTAGGATTAGGATATTTCATCATCTTCTTAAGCCTATAAATAAAGGCTCCTTTCATTATTGTTAGTATGCTTGATTGATGGATTATAGAATAAAATCTTGGTTCTCTCCCTATTGGTTCTTTCTTCTCTCTATTCTTATAGTTTTCTCCCCTTTATTGCTGTCCTCCCTAATCTATCCTCTCTCATTCTATCTATCTCACTAATTTTCTATTTTCTATCTGTCTTTCTGTTCTTTATCTATCTCTCCTTCTACTTTATCAATACATTGGGAGGGTTAGGTATAGTATCGACGTTTGGAACTCTTTTCATTTGTTTCATTTGCTAGCCAACAGCTTACTTAAATTGATCACTAGTAAATATTTGCTGAGCTTTTGTTGTTTTTTTTTTGGGTATGATATACTCTTTTCTATACTAACTCTGTTTTTCTCTCTTGACATGGCTTTGTGCAGATGGAGTTGTGTATTATGCTCTTGGAGTGTTGCAGTCAGGAGAGAACTTATCTTCGGTATTATGGTCTTTTGGGGCAGCGGTTTTGCATGATAAACAAAGTCTATCAAGAAAATTTTGAGAAATGCTTCGTCCAACAATATTCAATGATTCATCGCCTTGAAACCAACAAGTTACGTAATGTTGCCAAGTTTTTTGCCCATTTACTCGGTACAGATGCTCTGCCTTGGCATGTTCTGGCCTATATTCGTTTAACTGAGGAGGACACGACTTCTTCTTCCCGTATCTTTATAAAGATTCTCTTCCAGGTAAGTGAAGAGTTGCTCAATTGTCTTTTTATTTAGTCTGTTTCTTTGTTTGCATTCCCTTTGTTTGAGGTGGTGTTGTTTACCCTTCTGTTCTTAGTTGGACGGGCAACTTTAAGTCAACAGAAAGCTAAAAACTTGACATCAATCTATATGTTTTACATCTTGTTTTTATCTTAATAAGAAAGAATGTATAAAAGATTAGAAGCTAAAACTTTTGGTTATGTTACATCCTCTAGTTGACGATAACTAAGTTAATACAATAACTGGTTGAAGAATAGCACTTGAGGATTAGAAAATCTAATTGGCAGATTATATCAATATTAAAAAAATATTTTTATTATTCTATATTATATTAGTAATTTAGGTAATAAAATTAAAGTTGTATGTATATTGAATCCAGTAAAATAATAGTTAATATTTATTTTATAATATATAATATAATAAATTAATATCTTTTTTAAAATAAAAAAATAACATATTTAAAAATGTTAATATTTAAATAGTGATATAAATTTAAATAGCAATAATATTTTAAAAACATAATTTATTTAAGTAATTATAAAATAATTAATATTTATAATATTAATTTAATTATTAGTAATTGAGATGGAATTATTCCTACATGAACTAGATGTTATCTTTTTATTAAAAACTTATATTATAAAAAATAGTTCAGTCGATACCATTACATATTGCCCATCAGCTCTAAGTTTTTAAGAAAATAAAATAAAATAAAAAATTTCCAAACCCCTCTCCTTTTAAAACCAAACCCAAACCCTAGTAATCCCATTTGGTTCGCGAAATCTGGATTTGGATTTTGCTTTTGATTAATGGCTGGAGAGCGCAGCAGAGATAGGGATCGGGAAAGGGAGAGAAGAGGGCGAAAGGAGAGTGGAGAGGAAAGAGACGGTGAGTATGGAAGTCGGGACAGGCATAGGGAGAGAAGACGAGATAAGAGTGATAGGGATAGGGATAGGCGCAGAAGATCGGAGAGAGACGACGATGATAGGAAGCAAAGAAAGAAGAAAGAGGGTAGGGACGGCCGGTATGATAGAGATAAGGAGAACGAAAAGGATAGGAGACTCGAAGATAGTCAAAGGGAAGAGGGGGAGTTGGTTGAGGATTCCAAAAAATCCAATTCGCGTGTGGAGAATGTGAATGCGAATGTTAATGGTAATGCAGCTTTGAGTTTGGGAAGAAGTGGAGGTGTTTATATCCCGCCTTTTAAGTTGGCAAGGATGATGAAGGAGGTGGAAGATAAAAGCAGTGTTGAGTATCAGCGTTTGACATGGGATGCTCTTCGTAAGAGTATAAACGGGCTTGTTAACAAGGTTAATGCTACTAATATAAAGAATATCATTCCTGAATTGTTTGCTGAGAATATGATTAGAGGAAGAGGTCTGTTTTGTCGGTCGTGTATGAAATCACAAATGGCATCTCCTGGTTTTACCGATGTGTTTGCAGCTCTGGCTGCTGTTGTTAACACCAAATTTCCTGAGGTGGGTTTGCTTTTGTTGAGAAGGATGGTTTTGCAGTTCCAGAGAGCTTATAAGCGGAATGACAAGGTTTGTATCTGCTTTTTGTTATATGACATTTTGTTTTGTTATGTTTTAATTAACTGATAGGAATTGTGTTCTCATGTAGTTTTGTTCTGATTGTCTTTGATATTGGTTTGACTGTGCAGCCACAATTACTAGCAGCTGTTAAATTTATAGCACATTTAGTAAACCAACAAGTGGCTCATGAGATTATTGCTCTAGAGTTGCTCATGCTTCTACTGACCAAACCAACCGATGACAGTGTGGAAGTAGCTGTTGGTTTTGTCACTGAGTGTGGATCAATACTTCAAGATCTCTCACCAAGAGGACTTCATGGTGAGTATGCCATTTGAGTTATGTCATTTTAAGGCGGTTTTTATCTGAGAATTTTCTATTTTTTGCGAGTGCTCTATTTTTCTGGTTTTGATATGCTTGTCATAAGATTTAGATAATTAATTTCTAGCATACAAATAATTTGTTTATGGCTGAATTGCCGTTTACTTCATAGTTCTCTAGTTTAAGTTTATTAATTCAAAAGAAAAATGAGCTGGATAGAACAATATAAAACTATGAGAACTTAAGTTTTTGGTGTATGCAAGACAGTTGTGATGTTATCCATTCCCCCAGATAACAACCTTGAAAATGGAAACTATTCCCACTGAAGTTTATCCTTGTCAAATTTTTATCAGATTGGGATCTATTAGCTTTTTTCTGTTGCAGTATACTATATGATCAAGTGACTATTTTTCGATTTTTGAGAAAATGGAGGCGAAATTCTGAATTTTGTCTACTTTTTTATGTGGAAATGTACCTCATGACATCCTTGGTTTTTGATTCTGCTAAAATTTCCATCAAGCAAAAGATATTTGGGAATATGCTGGAATTTTTTCGATTGTCAAACGTATGTTAATTTTGTCCACAAATATGTGCATCAGGTAGAATATCCTTAGTTACATCTTTGTTTGAAAATTGGTATTCATAATTGTGATTTGTGCAGGTATTTTTGAGCGGTTTCGTGGAATTCTTCATGAAGGAGAGATAGACAAACGTGTTCAGTTCTTGATTGAAGGCCTGTTTGCTATAAGGAAAGCCAAATTTCAGGTGTGTCTTTTTTTCCTTTTTGGAATTTTACTACAAAATATTGAAAAGGCATAGACTTAAATCCAATTGTTCTTTTGTGAATTTATGAATTTTCAGGGTTACCCGGCTGTTCGTCCAGAGCTCGACCTTGTAGAGCAGGAAGATCAGTTTACGCATGAGATATCCCTTGATGATAAGGTGGATCCAGAGATTACACTTGGTATGTCTTAGTCTGTCAACTCTTTTTCTGCTGCTTGATTGACTAGTTTTGGTTATGTATGATTGTAAACATCTTTTTTATTGTCGATGTGCAGATATTTTCAAACCAGATCCTCAGTTCCTGGAGAATGAAAAACGTTATGAAGAATTGAAGAAAACGATCCTCGGTGAGGAGTCTGATGATGAAGAAGGCTCTGATGCAGCTTCAGGTGATGAGGATGATGATGATGATGACAACGATGATGAAGAGTCTGAAGAAGATGATGAAGAGCAGATGCAAATAAAAGATGAAACTGAAACGAACCTTGTAAATCTTCGGAGGACAATTTATCTAACAATTATGTCTAGTGTAGATTTTGAAGAGGCTGGCCACAAACTTCTGAAAATCAAACTAGAGCCAGGTCAAGAGGTAAGCCGCACAAATTCTGGCTGAATGTTCTGCAGCACAATCAAATGACATATTAGTGATCTGCTTTTTATCATCTAATAAGTTGGAATGTAATGGCTTTTGTGACAAATATGAAAAAAGAGTTGAATTAATACTAGCAATATTTAGCATCAGTTTGTTAAGAAACTACCCGACATTGATGTTAATATTAGGCCAATCTGTGATAAGTTGGTAAATATTTAGCAAGAGCTGTGCTGAATCATTATCTTAAAGGAAATTGGATGTTAAGTTTTAATTTCTCAGGGCAATTTGAACCTGAAAGTTCAGCATATGATTCCAATGTTCTTGGATTTCTTAAAGAAAATGGAATGATACACGGAATTTTCAGTGTAATGTTGAGCATGGCTACTTGATTCTTGGTTGCATCTAGGCTCACACAAATTATAATTTTGTTAACCTTTTCAAGGGTTCTCAATGGTATACTTGAGCTTACGAAGTTGGTTGATATCACATATGGACCTAAGATATTTTAAGGGATCACATCAGTTGGTAGGAGTAACGAATCATGTTGTTGAGAGTTAGACTCTTGTTTGAAGTGAGACTGACATAGATCTTGGATTATTATGTTGGAAAACTCTTTTATTATTTTCGATGTCAAATCAGTTGGTATCATTAGTGAATTATAATTGTTCTTATTTGTGGAATGTTAGACATTTTTTTTGCATGTACAAAACATACATGATGTAGGAGGAATAGTAAAGATTTTGGAATTAAATGTTTTAGATTATTTAGTCTTTTATCTCATTGTTTTACTAGGATTAGGATATTTCATCATCTTCTTAAGCCTATAAATAAAGGCTCCTTTCATTATTGTTAGTATGCTTGATTGATCGATTATAGAATAAAATCTTGGTTCTCTCCCTATTGGTTCTTTCTTCTCTCTATTCTTATAGTTTTCTCCCCTTTATTGCTGTCCTCCCTAATCTATACTCTTTCATTCTATCTATCTCTCTAATTTTCTATTTTCTATCTATCTCTTTCTGTTCTTTATCTCTCTCTCCTTCTACTTTATCAATACATTGGGAGGGTTAGGTATAGTATCGACGTTTGGAACTCTTTTCATTTGTTTCATTTGCTAGCCAACAGCTTACTTAAATTGATCACTAGTAAATATTTGCTGAGCTTTTGTTGTTTTTTTTTTGGGTATGATATACTCTTTTCTATACTAACTCTGTTTTTCTCTCTTGATATGGCTTTGTGCAGATGGAGTTGTGTATTATGCTCTTGGAGTGTTGCAGTCAGGAGAGAACTTATCTTCGGTATTATGGTCTTTTGGGGCAGCGGTTTTGCATGATAAACAAAGTCTATCAAGAAAATTTTGAGAAATGCTTCGTCCAACAATATTCAATGATTCATCGCCTTGAAACCAACAAGTTACGTAATGTTGCCAAGTTTTTTGCCCATTTACTCGGTACAGATGCTCTGCCTTGGCATGTTCTGGCCTATATTCGTTTAACTGAGGAGGACACGACTTCTTCTTCCCGTATCTTTATAAAGATTCTCTTCCAGGTAAGTGAAGAGTTGCTCAATTGTCTTTTTATTCAGTCTGTTTCTTTGTTTGCATTCCCTTTGTTTGAGGTGGTGTTGTTTACCCTTCTGTTCCTAGTTGGATGGGCAACTTTAAGTCAACAGAAAGCTAAAAACTTTACATCAATCTATATGTTTTACATCTTGTTTTTATCTTAATAAGAAAGAATGTATAAAAGATTAGAAGCTAAAACTTTTGGTTATGTTACATCCTCTAGTTGACGATAACTAAGTTAATACAATAACTGGTTGAAGAATAGCACTTGAGGATTAGAAAATCTAATTGATATGTCCTTATAGCTAATCAAGGTAGCATGAATCGTCATTATCTCCTTTGCAAATATGGAAGCACATGGTTCCCTTTTGTCCTTACTGTGTGGTTTATAGTCCAATTCTATGTAAAAAGAAGTTGATTTCTTTTAGATCTGATTTCTGCATTCCAACCATTGTGAAAATATTCATTGCTTATTTGCTTCTGAAAATTTGAGGAATTTTTAACCCTTGGTTATGTGAAGTCCTCTCAATTCCTTTCCGTTATGTTACTGTGCATCTATTCTATTATAATTGCTCTCCTTTTTTACCTTGGCACAATCATCCATTTGAGATATCACACCTTCACACACGAATTTCAACACTCTGTTCTTTCGTCTTAATGTCTTTCTGTAACAGTTTTAATTTTATAACCTCAGAAGAAGCTCACCTTGGTACTGGTTTCTGGTGCAGGAATTGTCAGAGCATCTTGGCATTCGGTTGCTGAATGAGCGGCTCACAGATCCCACAATGCAAGACTCATGTGAATCCATTTTCCCGAGGGACAATCCAAAGAACACAAGATTTTCTATCAATTTCTTCACTTCCATTGGTCTTGGTGGTATTACTGAAAACTTGCGTGAATACCTAAAGAACATGCCACGGCTTATCATGCAACAACAAAAACCTGCTTCAGAATCAGAATCAGGTTCAGGATCAGATGATGAATCTGGTACTTCTGTTTCATCTGATTCAGAAACATCTAAATCCGACACAGAATCGTCTAGTTCTGAAGATGAACGGGACAGAAGGCACAGAAAAAGAAGTAGAAGAAACTAAAGCCATTTCGGTTGTTCTTTCAAAAAAAAATCTTGTAGTTTATGTACTTTCCAGTCTGTAAAATATTTTACTTTGCTCGAGCTTCTCTTTTATTCACATGGAAATGTTAAGTTTAGGACATGTTGAGTAACCATTTGTAGCAATGTTTCATTCAACTCAGTGTTTGTTTAAGCAAAAAATTGAGCAAATTTATAATCATTTTGGTTTCTGAGTTCAACATTTGATGATATCTTAGTGCAAATCTATTCTTTTACAATATTTGAAATTAAATACATGCCATTTACATTTTAGTAATGAACTTTTGCTTCCTGTTGAAACCGGAGAAGGGCAAAAGATATATGCATTGAAAATTTGATGAGGTCTATACAGATGGAAACAGTGAGCACCAAACTTCTAATTCACCCAGATAAGCAGCTTTGAGAATTCTCACTATCAAAGTCTTTCTTCCTTTGAATCATTTGCTTGAGGTTCAGAACAATCAACTACCTCCCCGTCCCTAAAAGAGACATCAGCTGTTTGGGAATCGGTAGGAGCTCCATTCATTAGATTTAGTTCATATAACCGGCGTCCTTCCACCTTATCTACAACCTTCTGTCTGAACTCTTCATCAGAACAAGCCAACATATATCGCAGTTTAAAATTAACCTGATTCTCCACCATAACCCAGTGCCTTGGAATTATTCGATCTTCAAGAGAATAGCTGAAAAACCTGCAAATGTTCCATCTTTGTCAGTGTTCAAAATTGACAAATTAATCGTAATGTGTCTTGGAATAACGGTGAAGCTTCACCATTAAATTGATTTTATTAGACATAATAAAACGAAATCAAAGACTCTGACAAGCTAACTTTAGGGCAGCACAGTGTTCCATATTGCCATCACCTTGGAAACTCGATGAGATCCTGCAAAGGACGGACCATGGTTCTTCTTAAATAACGATACTTTGGACGGAGCAGATCAATATTGTATCGTAGTAGCATGGGAAAATCAGCAATCATCTTTCCTAGTTGCTGAAATTTTATGCCAAGTGACAGATAATATTTCACATTGACCTCAAGCTTATTCCCTATGCTGCATCCCAAGAGCTCTGGTCCCAGAGCTATACACTTACCAATATCTCTTTCGCTGACTCCAGCTTTGGTCATCAAGAATATGACCTATATCATATTATAATTTCAGCAAAAGTTACTATTGGTTACGAGATGATAATCGATACTACTTAGATCTCTTGATGCAAAATCATCTTGAAACAAAATACAAAAGAAGATGTGATTAACCAAACTCTGCCGGCAGAGAAGTTGGCCAAATGACTAACACTTCTTGCAACAGCTATTAGATATTACCATAAAGATCTACTGGTTTAGTCCAGAAAACACTATGTTGAAGATGTCATAAGAAAGGAATACAAGATTATAGCTGTTTTCATATCTTGAAAAGAAAGAAAATTTTAATCTGCTTCGAAATTAGGTTCCAATCTTCGGTAGTTTTACAATTTTAAGTTCCCTCATTCTTTCCAAAATCAAAAGAGAGGGTCAAATTTCAAGCCCTCTTACAGTGCACTCAACAGTGTAACTGAGAAAATAAAAAATGGCCATCTCAAGAGAGGGCAAAAATGGCCATCTCAAGAGAGGGCAAAAATTTAACACTGTAAATTGAGAAATAAAGAAAACAAGACTGCAAAAGAACTAACCACAGGCCGAATTTTCCTGTGAAGGCTGTATGTTAGTAAAGGAGGAAACTTTACAAGCATATTGGCTATGCCATCATCTCGAACACCTATATCCTGAAAAAATTGCACCTTACAAAACAAGATAAAACTGAGTGTCAATATTGACCACGTAAAGCAGGGCATTGGTAAAATGAAGTATGATGAGAAAGCTGAATGATAAAAACTTAGAAAATGGAAGGGAAACCAGCTTGTGAAAGAGGGAATTTTTTTTTTTTTTTTTTTTAAAAAAGACATTCATAACAGAATTTATGAATAAACATAGTTGAACAATCAAATACCTTTGGAACAATTGTTGCTTCCAAATCGACACAAAAAACCATTGGTTTGATCACAAGCATTCTCTTCATACCATCTCGTGAAATTCCAAAGTAGTACAAATACTTAACAAGAGGCTTCCATCTTTCTTCAATGCTACAACCCATCAACTGTGGCTTAAATGCTAGTAATCTTCCAACATCTTCAGTACTAAGGCCAAACTCCTTTAGATAAGCAACCTGTATGAACAAGAACATCTCACTTTACAATCACAAAACATTTTAAATATTACTTGTCTAACACATCTCATTAAGCATTTTCCATATCAAACAAGTTGTATAATTGGGAGAAGCACACCAAGAGAATCGGATACCTTTTGATTCATCTCTTCTAGACTAAAAAAGCCAAGCACCCTAGGATAATCAAAGACCATAGTGCCAAAATCATTTGCATTCATGCCCATATCCAAGTAAAAATGCACACGTGTTTTCAATTCCTCAATGTTGTAAGACAATAATTGCGGACACCGGCTCATGGCGTACCCCATCCAATCCCTTCTGACTCCATTGCTCTCCAAATAGTCAACAATCTCACCTAATTCTTCATGGCTGCGCTCCAAAACGTTCCCTCCCGATTTCAGGAGTGCAACCCCAAGAAATTCACCCTTCACATGAATTGACTTCAGCCACTCAGCAAGCCTCCTTATGCACTCAATATTCCCTCTTGACATGCATATTAGTTTCGCAATTTTCGGATAAGACAGCCCATTATGTTTCAACCACCTACATAGAACTGAGCTATGAAAAATCATCTTGGGAAACAATCCAAAATTGAAAAAAATTACCACGAAAATACTAAAACTTACCAACTAAAACATACAAGAAAACAATTTCACACAACAACAAAAACAAACTTAAAGAAAGAACAGCTTTTGTTATCTTAGAAACCATTTTAAGTACCTCAAGATTATTAATTCAAGTTTCATAAAGATAAATTAAAATAATTTTATCAGACCCACAAGCCCAGCTTCAAAATTGCACAAAACAACCATTATAGACCTCTTACCTTATAAGTGGCACAACATTAGAGTCTTCTATAACAGTTTTAGCGCGAACATTAAACGTGGACTCGGCAAACTCAGGTAACTTCTTCAAAGCCGCAGCCTTTATCATAACATGATCAATAAAATCAGCCAACCTCTCAGTCACGTTAGTAGAATATGTGATTCCAAATTTACCCTTCCTCATTGCCTGCTTGAATATCTCAGCAGTCACTTTCCTCCTTATCTCCAACGCCTTCATTATCATTTCCTCATCAACTTCATCAGGATCCTCATTTTTTTTTTCGACGTTTTTAAGGTTGTTGGATTTAAAGAGGGTTTGAAGAGGTTGTAATAATGAGTCTGACGCGTCGTAAATAGAGCCTGGGAATTGCGGGGGCCGTTTGGCCACGAGAGACATTTCGAGGAGTTTAATTTTGTCTTCAGGCGGGATGCCATCGTGCTGCTGCTGCTGTTGTTGTTGTTGAAGGGTGGAGTTTTGGTGGGTGGAGAGGTGGCGGAGGAGCAGAGCGGAGGACTTGCGGTTGTGTTGGCGGAGGAGGGTGGGGTCTGGAGTGTTAGTTTGATCGTCGAGAGAGGCGGAGATGGTGGTGGTGGTGCGGCGGAGAGAGAGAAATGGAGAGTGATGGTGGTGGTATGGACATGACACTGAGAGCATGTCTTCTGATTTCTGAATAGTGTGGATAGAGGGGCAGTGGAGAGTGGAAACACTCGCTGAAGGTATTTTTGCTTCTGAAAGCATCTGTTTTGTCCTTTTCAAAGTTTAAAACAAAAAAATTATTAGTCGAGATTTTATCAACCAGGTCCCATGGTCTAGTGGTCAGGACATTGGACTCTGAATCCAGTAACCCGAGTTCAAATCTCGGTGGGACCTTTTTTTTTTTTTTTTTTTCACAAAGCATTTTCGGATGGAACTGTTTCACAAAACATTATTTTGTTTTGACCGAACATCAACAATAACTAATACTAAGTCCACAACCTGTCAAACAATATGACAGTTCGGCATTAATCAACTCAATCTTTTTTCATAACTATCAATGTGACAGTTCGTCATTAATCAACTCACAAAATGAGTCTCGCCTGCTTGTATGAGTTCTGTCTGATCAATGATGAACTATCTTGTTAGAGATTATGAGAAAAATTTGTAAGATTATATTATAGACGTAGCATCGCTGTTAACTAAAAACATTTTCTAATGAAAGTGTAGATTGTAGTAACTAGTTTCATGGTTGTAGTTTTGTCTCAGTCATATGCTGTAGTCCGTGAGCTAGGACTTATATTATGAGGAGAATAGTTGAAAACAACAAAACTTGAGAAGTGAAATTCTGTATAATCTTTCATGTCTGTTTTATTTCTCATTTCTATCTTTTGAATTGAAATTAGAATCTCATTTGAATGAAGAAATCCTGAACAATTACAATTTACATTGCAGAAGAGAACCCACAAACTGAACATCAATTACAGATAAAAATTGTGGCTTGCTTTGACCATAAAACAAGCTGTCAAACAAAAAAGAACATAATAACTGCCATGGCACCCTTCTCTCTCACTGCCTAAATCCATCCACAACTGCAAACACCTCTCTTGGTCTCCACAGATAAAATCTTCACAGAAAGTTTAGTTTTAAAGTCTCCCTTCATTGAAGATCTATGCCCCCTGAAAAAAATACAAAAATGGCTTGAAATTCCAATTACCTCCAGGACCAAGAAGAGCTTGAAAAAGTACTAATACCACCAAACAGGCACTCAAATGGGAAGCCTGCTATATTATTAGCAAAGAATCAACAATCAACTTTTTTTACTAGTCCTGGTCTTGTCTCTCTACATCTTGCACATCAGATGGTTCTGGGAATATATCTTTAGAATAGCGTCTACGTGAGGATGAATTATCACCTCCGCCATTTGGTCCACTACCCTGAGAATGAGAACCTGTGGTTCCCGATTGTTTAAAACTACTAGCTCCTTCTACTTTAGCAGCTGACGCTGCTGGAATTGCTGCCACATCGGATGAGCTGTGACGCCAACTACCAAAAAGTGCAGCATTCCAAGACCCTCTAGAAGAGGTAGCTCTTAGCCTCGCAGAGCCAGTGTTCTCTTCCCTTACTACCTTTAAAGGGTTTTCCAAAGCCTTGAGGATGTATCTCATGAGAGGCCGCCTTGAAAGCTTTGGATTAAGGCATGACCTGGCAACAATAGCCATGGCCCATACTTCCTCTAAAAGATCCTCATCAACAATCAGAGATGGATCCACAATCTTGGTTACAAGTTCCTTGTCGTATATACTGATGTATGGTAGCGTCTGTTCCATATATTCCTTCATTTCGGCTTCACTGGAAGCACTAATACCCAGCCTACCGGTTACCAGTTCAAGTAATACCTTCCCAAAGCAGTACACATCATAGGCACATGTGGCAGTCAGTGCACCTGGCGATTTTCCAAATGAAAAACAAATTTCAGAAACAAATATTAGAATCAAAAGAAATATTAATTTCTAATATAAATTAAGGCTGACAATGGAAGACCAAAAATTTTATCTTTCAAGCATTTGTTCTATAAATGACTTCTATAGACCAAAACTGGAAGAAAAAGAAAAGTACAAAGTCTCATTCAAGTGGGTGCCAAAAAATTGTAGTTCTTAATAGGAAAATGATTCAGTTAGGACTAGAGACATTTTATATTTCTAACAAAATATAATGCTTAATATTGGGTCAAAATAAAATCTTTAATAGGAACAGTGATTATATCCTAGCAGTTTTTGGGTTTTATTCTATCTGAATTTCAAGCTTCAATTTAGTGGTTGTTAAGTATGCTAATAAACAAGCAGCTATTTTAGGACGGAAAATTAAGACATACCTGAAGTAGCTTGCTCAGATGACCTGCAGATTAAAAGGAGAAAACTATTATTATACTCCTTATCAACAAATTCGATGGGCATAACATAAAGTAACCAACAAATTATGAAAAATTAATGGGGAAACAAAAAAGGTTTAAGGTAATTATTTAAACGTCAAAATCATCATCACCCTCGTGCAAGTTTTATTTGAGGTTATAACTCACTGGTCATCCTGTTCTTGGTCTAGTGTTTTATAACATATAAAGTAAACGAGAGGCAGCCTAATCTCATTACATTTTGAGAAGTCAACCTTCTGTTGTATTTGGTCAATCTAATCTCTTTCATACAGGCAACCTAAGCACGGGCCTTCAAACATAGCAAGACAAGGTAGCAAGCAACTTAACATTTGACTGAACACAAAAGGAGGAATAAGGGATTTGAGCAATAAAAGTCATTGTAGGTATAGCTAGTTCAACTGATTGCATCTCTTAGGTTATAAAAAATGTCTTGGGCTTGAATCTTGTCCACACCAGGGTGGAGGGTTAGTACAAATATGTAATTTTTAAATAAATTAGATTTTGAAAAAAAAAAAAAAATATGCAAATCATTGCACTACTAAAAACAGACTAGTGTTGAAAAAAAAAAAAAAAATATGCAAATCCTGTACTTGGTCTAGTGTTTACAACCTATAAAGTAAACGAGAGGCAGCCTAATGTCATTACATTTGAGAAGTCAACCTTCTGTTGTATTGGTCAATCTAATCTCTTCATACAGGCACAAGCACGGGCCTTCAAACATAGCAAGACAAGTAGCAGCAACTAACATTTGACTGAACACAAAGGAGATAAGGGATATTTGAGCAATAAAGGTCATTGTAGGTATAGCTAGTTCAAATGATTGCATCTCTTAGTTATAAAGAATGTCTTGGGCTTGAATCTTGTCCACAACGGGGGAGGGTTAGTACAAATATGTAATTTTTAAAAAATAAATTAGATTTTTGAAAAAAAAAAAAAAAAAAAAAAAAAAAAAAAAAAAGCAAATCATTGCACTACTAAAAACAGACATAGTGTTGATTCTTAAACAATCTCAGCATGAAAACATCTGAATAAAAACAACTTCCACTAAAATACTTACTGTGGTAACCGCAGCAACCTGGAAATCCTACTTTGATGAATATCACCTTCTTGAGCACAGACCTCGCTTAGGCTCCCAAGCCGTACTTCAAATTTATCATCCAGAAGTATACTGCTTGCTTGAACATCTCTTCAAGGATGGGGAAAAAAAGAGCACGTCATCACTTGCATAAGGCATAAATTTTTCTTATATAAGTAGACTACTAAACTGTGAAGTATGTTCCTAGATAGGTGCAGCCCTAACAAACTAAGGCAAGTAAATTAAATAACTCGCAACCTCTATATCACTAAAACATGAAAATATGATGTCACTCATTAAATTAGAAGTTTAAAAATTAATGAATGCTTTGTGCACGGCTTCATGGCTAGAGTTTCATCTCATAATTACTATAAATAGAATAGAATGGTAGAAAGGCCTTAGAATATGAAGGTTCAACATCACCTCAAAATTACCAGACTTGCTATGGTAAATTTCAGGAAATTGATCATACGAATAACAAAAGATAATGACGAGAATGAATCAAGTAAAAAAAAAGAAAGTCCTGAAAGTACCTGTGCACAAGGGGTGGTGTGCATTCATGATGAAGATAAGATAAACCCTCCGCCGCTCCTAACGCAATTTTCAATCTTGTTATCCAATCCAATGATTGTAAATCATCTTCCGTATTGGATTTTCTATACAAGGAACTTGACAAATCCCCATTTGGCATATATTTATAAACAAGGAACTTCACATTTTCATTCTCTAAGCAATGTCCCAGGAGGGGAACCAGTCTTGAATGTCCAACCTTACTAAAGAAATCCAATTCCAATAGGTATGATTCCTTTTTAATAGACTGCAAATCAATTCTTTTGATGACCACAGGGATACCACCTTCCAAGATACCACGGAAGAGATCTCCTGAGTGACCATTTTTTATGAGATTTGCATCACTAAAGTCACCTGTGGCTATGAGTAACTGCTGATAAGTAAATGAGTCTCCGAGTTTAGATAAGTTAATTGATACTCCAGGAGGAGGCGGAGTGGACCCTGCAGGAACTGGCCCCACACCTACCCCTCTTTGATTTGTAGTGCCCCCCCTCTTACGGGCACAAAGGACCAGCAGAGCCAGCAACGCCAAAAGCAAAATAAGCCCAACTCCTCCCAAAACCGCTGCCAATATAATAGTCCTCTTGTTCTTCTTCCCAGAGGTTTCAGGTGCACGAGGTTGTGTGGAATTTGGGCGTCCAAAGTTATCAAAATTCAAGCCCCTTGCAGCATAAAATGATGAACAATCCACCACAGTCCTCTGGTCTGCCAAATCTTGGAGACAGTTGCCATCAAGAGATGCATTACTAGGCACATAATCGGGAACCTTGCCTTCAAAATAATTCCCTGAGAGATGAATGGAACTGAACCTTCTTAGAGACGGTGTCAGATTTCCATAAAACAAGTTCAGAGAAATATTGAGTTCTGCAGCAGTGACATTTGCATTTGAGCTAGAATCGGGCAGCAAACCAGAAAAATTATTGACAGAAATGTCAAGCAAACTCAACTGGGGCATTCTCCACAAGACATCAGGAAGAGGACCAGTAAAATTATTGTGTCTCAAAACAATAATCTGCAACTGACTAGGAGCCGGAAATAAATTAACCGGCAAATTCCCATTTAGAAAATTGTTTCCAATCAACATCTTCTGCAAATTCCGCAACCCTCTTAAATCCGGAGGCACTGGCCCAGACAAAGAATTACTGCTAAGATCAAGCTCAACCAAGCTATCAAGATCCCCAAGCTGGGATGGAATTGTAGAAGCAAAACTATTGTTTGAGACATTCAAATACTGAAGCTTAGAAAGTGTCCCAATGCCAGGAGGAATTGACCCACTTAAGTAATTTGAAGAAATGTCAAGTCTTGACAGATTCTTCAGTGACTCAAATGATGAAGGAATGGATCCAGTGAGCGAATTCTTTGAAAGATCAAGAACTGAGAGGAGTGGAAATAAACCCAAACTTGAAGGAATTGTCCCAGAAATGCCATTATCAGACAAATACAGACTAATTAAGTTAGTCAAATTTCCCAGACTTGGAGGAATAGCACCACTTATAGAACATGAACGGAGATCCAACACTTGCAAAGTCAACATTCGCTGCCCTAACCAATCCGGGATCGAGCCAGGAAGAAAGAATCTTGAGGCATTGAAAGAGGCCAAATGTGTTAAGTTCACAAGAGAATCAACAGCAAATTGTGGGTTTAGCTTCCCAAGCCTTGTTCTTCTAAACCCAGAAATGTTAATTCCAACAACACTACCATTTGCACATCTTATACCATTCCACACTAAGCAAGGGTCAGATTTTATCGGCCAATCTGTACTTCTTAGCCCTAATGAGGATCTGAGTTCAAGTAGAGCAGCTCGCTCATTGGGTGAACTCAAGGTCTCAAGTTGCTCAAATGTAGACTCAAATAATAAAAACAATATAAAAATAACAGCCACTGCACTTCGCTGATCCACCATGGCTCATAATATAAACTTCCTCATATTCTTTCTCNATGCCCTTATTTTTAAATTTATTTACATGAATCTTGCTTTTACAATTTCACCCCATTTAATTAATTTTTTGGACAAAATTACCCTTGAAATCAAAACAAATTTCAACTTACCCAAGCCACCATCCCCACCCACCTGCTGCCGTCTGCTACCAACCAAACCACCGCCGACTGTCGCGGGAAGTCGCCGGAAGTCACCTGGAGTCGTTGTGAGTAGCCCACTATGACTGGGAGGCGCCAATATGACAGTTTCTGGCCATGTTGATGGTCAAAAAGGCCATATCGAGAGCAGATCTGACCATTTCCAGCCAGATCGATAGGTCTGGCTGAGATCTGTTATGGCCATTTTCGGCCAGATCTAGCTTAATATGGCCGTTTTCGACCATCAATATGGCTAGAAATGGCCAGATCGGAGCCTTGTGGTCATAGTGAGCTACTCACAGTGACTTTTGATGGTGGTTTGCGGTGGTGGCAGGGGGTGGGGGTGGGGGTGATTTTGTCATAAATTAAAGTTTTATATGAGTGTTTTAGCTAAATCCGAAATATTGGGGGTTAAAAAAATTATTCAAAAATTAATAATAAAAATAAAATTGTATTAATCTTTAAAAAGAGAGCAATTTAGTAATTTAAATAACATACCCACCAATTTATTCCTTCAACCAAACATATTAATATAACATATCCACCAACTAACCAAACATATTTTTCTAAAGATTTACAGTAATCTTCAAGGTAATATAAGATTCTAGTAATCTAACATTCCCAGTAATCCAATATTCCATGAACCAAACGTCCCTAAATGTAATAAATTTTTTTTTTTTTTTTTTTTTTTTTTTTTTTTTTTTTTTTTTTTTTTTTTTTTAATAATTATAAGAACTATAGTTTTTTCTCTGATGGTCCATGTGAGATTGTTGGTGCATAAATAATTAGTTGAGGCAGTAGCCAGCCAGTTGGTCAGTAATTATATTTATGGTTTATAACTTTATATCATTAATTGGTGATTTTTGACCTATTTTTTCAGTATTTTTAGCCATTAAAATTATTAATTTAAATAATTAATTGGTGGTCAGTGAGTGAGTTAATGACAATTAATTAATTTTTTCCCAAATGGGTGACTGAAAATGTAAAGAGTTTATATCAGATTATATAATTTCAATAAATCATAAAGTAATTCTTTTTTAATTTAATTTAATGCTAACAACTCATTAATTATTTGGATTAAGGTTATAAATGACTAAGATTAAAAGCCAAAAAGTTTTACGTCAACCCAATTAGTATACGGTATTCGATATATACGAGTAATATTATACTTATAACTCAATCTCACAATCTCGACGTGGTAACTCGCAAATGGATTCTGCCTCTCGCTATGGGTCTGGCCTGTCAAATTACGAAATGACTAATTACGAGCATCAAAGTTGTGAAAGAAAGTTTGTAAGATTGAATTATAAACTCATCTTTATCCGATATATATTTATGAGTTTATCCTAATATTTTTCGAGGTAGCTTGTCAATCGTCATTATCGCAAAAAAATAATCAAATATGTGATTTGATCTTATAAAGTAGCACGGTGTTTGAGTCAACCATAAACTTTTACATGATTGAATATCGTTTTTAATCGATCCTTTATAGATTGTTTTTTGTTTCTCAAAGATTACAGGGCTCGACAAATCAATTATACACATTTTAATTGAGAAAAATATGTATAAATTAGGAAAATGTGGATTGATTTGGGGTGTCATAGCATTATTAAGTTAAGCTGGCTTAAGATTTTTTATTATTATAAACTTAACATATTTTCAATGTAAATGTATTGATTTGAGAAATTAATTAATTAATTAATTAACCCTAAGATTTAATTTCTATTTATTATCTCATACATTAAAGATTAAATAAAACTAGTAATGGAGAATAAATTCAATTGGAAAATCCTATGTTTTAATGTGATTTTTATTTTCTAAAATTAGAATGATAAAGGTCAAAGCTTCACTGTCACATTTACTGAGTTTTAAATGCATAAATATAGGGCAACATTAAATCGTTTTCATGAAAGAGTAAATTAAAGTAATGGGTGTGGTTAGAATTTATTTCTAGCTATTTGTAGCTAGTTTGACAATTTATTTGAGAATAGTTCAAATTCTTCCCTCCACAATTAAGGAGATTGTGGGTGTATTTAGAGAATTTTAGAAAATAAAAACTTTAGTGGAGAATTTTAGCTATTCAAATTATTCTTAGAACAAAACGATAGTACTTACAAGCAATATTAAATTTTTAATTTTTAATTACTTCACATATAAATTTTTTTTTTTTTCTTTGCTAAGTATTGATAGTTTTTTATTGTTTTGATGCTTTTAACTATATTATTCTTGAAATTATAGTAATGATTTTTTAGTTTAATTTTTTCATAACTTTTAATTTAAATATTTAAAATTTTATTTTGAAATAATGACGATAAGGGGTGTATAACATAATGAAATGAATGAAATGTTAACTCTTTAAAATATATTAAAAAAAAAATTGGAATGGAGAGTATTTATGGATTTATGGGTGTTTTAAGAAATCGGGTTTATTAGTCCAATGAGGTGATATAGCTCCCATCTAAAAACTTTTAATCAATATTTTACTATATATTGGTCGAGCTTTATTTAAAAAATTCTTAATAATTTTATTTTTTCTATACATCAAATAAAAAAATTTATTTTTTTTCTTTAAGTGTTGTATAATTTCTACACTTAATAATAATATAATGACTGTATTATATCACATCATAAATTCAAGAAATTTCAAATCTATTGTACTAGTTTGGCCTAGATTTTTTTTTTTTTAAATTAACTAACACATATTTTTTTTTTTCCTAATATATACCTAACCCAACTATAATTTCAAAATAACTCCAATATTCCTTTCTAATATAAAAATTTTGTATTTAAGCTCTATTTGTCTTATGGTAGTTCAACTGTATTTCCAACCTTTGCTCTCAATCACTCTCCTATAAACCTAAAGTCCAAATTTCTCCATTATTTTCTGTCTTCATCACCTAAAAATACTTCCAAGACTGGTTTTTTTCCATTTTTTCTTACCTCTTCTTCACTCCATCTCCACCATTATCAAATTGTCTTTTTGTGCTCTTTCTTTCATAATTCACTTCTTGTATTGAAATTTCCTTCAAATCACCCCATATAACTATTTATAATAAAATATTTTATCTTTTACTGTATTAGTCTTAAAAAATTAGAAATGGGCACATCGGTTAGGAGACGAGGGTTTTAGTGACTTATATATCACAAGACACTCTCATCACCTAAGACGTTTTTTCAGGACAAAACTGCGGATAATAACTCTGAGAACACACCTACCACGTGTTTGGATTGACACACCACCTTTTTCATCTCAAATATATGTTTTTTAAAGTTTATAAAGATTGAAAACTTGGTTAAAATAAGAGCAACTTGAATCTCAACATTGTTAATGCATGAACTTGCATCATCAATCCCAACTTTAAGGAATAGATGGTGAGTAAAATATAATGGTGGAGGGTCAAACACTCTGGTTCAATGTGTTCTAACTTCTAACTCAAGTTCATAAAACCTTATTCATACAATCTAATCTAATGGTCTATGTATATATGGTTCAAAGCTCAAGCACATATAACAAACATGGAGAACAGGAACTCCATGCACTGCAGCACGAAGAAGAAGACTGTGAAATTGAGGATGCAGAGGACGTCTTATTGGGTGGTGGTGGTGGTGGTGGTGGGGGTATGTAGTCTGACACAAATATGTTATTTCATCGATTCATCAAAGTCTTCTCGCCAGTCTAAATTGGTGTGCGATGGGGTAATTAACCACCACCATATAGCTGATGATAAAAAGCAAATGGGTCTATATGAGTTCGGGGCGAGTAAGGAGGGCAAGGAGGGTCATGACCCTCCTTAACTTTGAAAAATTATCAAAATTCAAATATATATATAATTAACTTTTAAATTCATCAAATATATCAAATTAATTCTTGTTTGTACAAAAAAAAAAAAAATCCCACAATACATTATAAATTATATAATGAATTTTGTATATATTTTTTAATTGTACAAAGAACAAAGTGAAGAAAGTTTTTATTCTTTTCATATATTTTAAATAAATATATATTTAATTATCAATCAAATTACTGTCAATTGTTATATATATATAATATATAATATATATTATTATAACCCACGGCACATCTCCCACTTAAATTGTGGATACTCAGATGGAGAATCGAACTTGAGACGTGTGTCTATTCACAATTCATTCTAACTATCTATACTGCTTACAAATGGGTCATATCAAAATATTGAAGTTAATAATAAAAAAAAAAAAGATAAATATAAAAAATATATATTTTGATGCATTATTTTAAGGGGTCGAAATATAAAAGTGAAATTACAACAAAAGTTATAATATTTTACTATAAAAGCTAGATAATTGTTTTAATATCTTATTAGTATAAATTTTATTATAATTTAATTTGGAGGTATTGTTATTTGTGTTGACTTAATAACTTGCTCGGTATTAAAAAAAATTTGCTTAGTTTTACACTCGTTAAAGTATTATAAATTTACTCTATATCGTCAAACACAATTTTAAATATATTAATTATAAAGAGCATTATAAATAAATACTCATATTTTTGTATAACTTATACCAAATATATTATTTATTATAAATTTATTTACAATTGTATTATTAAGTTTAATTAACTTTTTGACCCTATTAGAATAAGTTTCTGGCTACATCCCTGGTTCCTGAGTTCGAGTCTCTCTAGACACTAATATTATATTTAACCGATCGTTCACTTCAGAGCTCCGAAGATTAGTTGAAGTGCAACCATGATTAAATATTGTCTTGATTATGAAACTCATATCTAGGGATTCTGGATTTCTTAATTATATATATAATTTTTTTCTTAAATAATTAAATTAAATAACACATAATTGTTTTTTTCTTTCT